GAAGTGGGTGTTATTCTAATAGGTCTGCCTTTATATGTTTCTTGGTCTTTCTCCCTTGCAGCTTTTAATAGTCTTTGTTCTGTATGTTACGGTTTTCTTTTGTTCTAAGGGGACTTTCTTTTCTGGTCCAGTCTATTTGGTGTTCTGCATTTTTCTTGTACTTTGGCAGGCATCACCTTTTTTATGTTAGGGAAATTTTCTTCTACGATTTTGTAGCAAATATTTTCTGTGCCTTTGACTTAGGTTTCTCTTCCTTCATCCAGTCCTATTATTCTTTGATTTGGTATTTTTTTAATGCCCAAAATTTCTTGGATGTTTCGTGCTGGAACAATTTTAGAATTAACACTTTATTTGATTGGGGTAATGATTTCTTCTATCTTTTCATCAATGCCTGAGATTTTCTCCCATTTTTCTTGTATTCTGTTACCTTTGTGTTTCCTGTTTAAGTTTCTAAATGTTTCACTTTCCAATTCCCCTCAATTTCAGTTTTCTACATTGTTTCTTTTTCTACTTTCAGGTCTTGTTTATTTCAGGAACTCGTTTATTCATCTCCTTCTACAATTTGTTTTCTTAGATTTGTTTAATGGATTCATTCATTGATTTCCTCTATACATACCCATATCATATTCACAAAGGCTATTTGACGGTCTCTGTCTTGTGCTTTAGCTATTTTGCAATACTCAAGGCCTGCTGTGGTAGGGTGCTGGGCTTTAGCAGAGGCATTGTCCTGGATATGACTAATTGTGTTTTTCATGCTGAGGTTTAGGCACGTGAGTTTGGAAAGATTATCATTCTAAGTGATGATATCTGGTCTTGTTTTTGTTGTGTGGATGTTGTGTCCCTTGGTTCTGTTGTCTTCTCGGTGTGGTGGTTGTGTTTTGCCTGCTAGGAAATTCTTCCTGATAGATGTGCACACTAGGGGTTCCGGGTAAAATGTGATTCTAGGTTTTGGGAACTGACACTTAGGACTGGGAATGGGCTAGGAGGAGGAGGTTGACGGGGACAAAGGAGGGAGGAAAGCAGCCTGTTCCACTAGGCTCTATTTAGTCTCCTGGGAATGCGGGCCTAGAGTGAGCCAAGGCTGAAGCAGGAAGTCAGTCCCAGAGCTGGGGAGGAGACTGGGGATTGAGCCTGGAGGGATGCAAGGAGAGCTGAAGATCCTCAGATAGCCTAAGTGCTTCCTGGCCTAACTGCCTTGAGGGTCCCCAGGGAACAGATGCTGGATTTGGGGTTTAGGATAAAGCAGTAAGTGGGGGTGTGGAAATTCTTAGGGGAAGTTCTGAAGGGAACAGAAAAGGAGACAACCGCAGCAAGTGTTCTGCTCACAGCTGGGGGAGGGGACTTGGATTGGGTTTGAGGGAGTGGAAGGAGATTGGAAGAAGTGCAGTTAGCCTCCTGCCTCCCTGGCTGGGGTGGCCCGATGGTTCCAAGCACATTTCAGCACTTTAACCAGCCTTCTCTCACTATCATGGATGGTCCGTCCCCCATTTATACCCTTCCCTTGTTCCTTACATCAGGGTTCATAGCTTTTGATGCCTAGCTACTATTTAGGCATACTCTGCCACGTGAATGTGCCAGTTTGTAGATCACTTTCCCCATCTGGTCTTGCTGATGTCAACAGCATAAGACTCACCTCCTCTGCTTTAGAAACCAAACTCAGAAAGGTAGCCCAGATGTTTCTGATGGCAGCATTGTTGGGCTTCCACTGAGTTTTCTATAGCTGGAAACTGGAGACTTTCTACCCTGTGCGGTCACGATCCTATGCAGCTCAAAAGACCTACCTTGCCCTTGTGCACCTGTGTTGCTAAACCAAACGGAAGTAACTTCCAGTTCTTCCACATCACATGGCTAATCTGCCCCATTGCTTAGCCTGATGAGATCTTTTTTGAATCCCAATTCTGTCATTTAGGATAACCATTCTGTCCCAGCTTTATGACATACCAATTTTTCATAAACTTGCCTCTGAAGCTTCTGCCAAGTTATTAATTAAAATGTTGAACAGATGGGGCCAAAGGCAAGCTTTGCAGCAGGACACTGGAGATGCATCTCCAGGTTGTGGCAGATCCTTTAATTAGTGCTATTTAAGTGGCTGCACGCCCACCCGCAGTGTGAGTGTGGGGATTGTACTTCTCACTTTACCAGGGCGTGTTTCATTAAAGATCATGTTAACTCACTTTCAGCCCCAATATTTTATTTACTACCCATGTCTAATGTACCAGCCTTATAGAACAGAAAATTGAGTCTAATATAATTTCGTCTTGGAAGCCTGTTCTGACTTCAAATAATTTCTGCTTGCTCTCTGTCTAAAGATACGCCCAGGGTGAAGTTCAAGTTTACTGGTCTACAGCATAGAATAGTTTTCTTTACATGTGGCTTCATCTACGTGCGTATACATCTGTTTTCTTGTGTGGGGGTGCATATGAAGGATGGCTGGCTACCTTTAGAGTCATCTTCAGGAACACTGTCAACTTGCCTGATGTCTGTCTTTTATTGTCCTGGAGCACAGTAATTGGTTTACACTGCTGTCAAGCGAGCTCGATCTTCCTGTTTCCACCTTTGCAATGCTGGGATCACACACACGCACATAGTGACATGCTGGATTTGTTACTTTCTGATTGCTGTGGGAAAACACCATGACCAGAAGTGAATTACAAATGTATTTTGTCTATGGTTCCACAGGCATAAGAGTCTATCATATCAGGGAAATATGACAGCAACCCAGGCATGGCGGCAGAAGCAGAAAACTCAGATTTCACACCTTAAACCAAAAGCACAAAGCAGTGAGGGCAAACTGGAAGCAGGGAGGCCATATACTCGCAAAGCCCTCCCCTCCCCGGTAATGCATTTCCCAATGAAGTTGCACCTCGTAGACCTCCTGAAACATCATTAGGAACTGAGGGCCAAGTGCTCCAGTGCCTATCCTACAGGGGACAGTTCCAGTCCAAACCGCCCCACCTAGATCTCCATGTTTGGGAGTCAGCTTTACTGACAGAGTCACTACCCAACATGCACTCCCATACATTTTTCTCTAGTGTTTCTTCTTGCTTATCACTGTCAAGGAAGAAAATAAAAGTAGGATAGCATTAGAGCAAGGAACTAAGAGTTGGGAAGCCATGTTAATCCAATAGCAGAAGCGGGTACCCCTTTGAACGTGGTTTCAGACATGTCCACTCCACACGTAAGCTGGCCTTTAGTGTATAGTTATCCTCTGCCATCCTTCTCCACACTTCCTAAAGACTAAAGCCTATCTAATAATTTAATTAAAAATACAGTTTAACTTTTGCCAGCATTGCCCAAAACTTCCAGCCCCCTTGTGTTGCTTGAATCTGTGTTTTCCTAGATTTCAGTCCCAATTGGTTCCAAATAAATGTTTTCTTTGTTCTTGAGTAGGTTTTGTTCTTGGTTGACAAAACTTTTCCATATGATTTGACAGGGATTCACCTGTCCCTCTGGGTGTCTCTTCCAATGCCATTTCAAAAAATTAATCTGGGGATGCAACAGATTCCACTCGCTCCTTCCAGCATCTTAATTAGACCTGGGTTTTAGTTTCCTCTTAGGAATGTTCTTAAAATGATCTCTTCAGTCCCTATGGTTCTTATAATATTAGTTGTGCCACACAGAGAATATGGGAAGACACCCACTACTGCCACAGGAGGACAGGCTGCCAGGCAATGAGACTCAAGCCTGAGCTTCACACTCCAAAGAAGGACTTGAAAGAGAAGCTAGGGGACAGGGAGGCTCGGGCCCTCTTCACTCCCCACAGCTTTACTTCTTGAGATGGACAAAACAGACGTCTTGGCCTCTCCCAGTGACTCACCTAGAACAACTCCCCACTAAAAAAGCTCCATTCACAGCAGGCACCCCAGGCAGATGCACCAGTGTCTCACCTTTTATACTGCGCCTATGTCCTCCTTTCCTATGCTCAGGCATCTACTATTCTCCATATGTTATAACAAAAGGTGCTTTTGTTTAACAGGATGCACACAGTCCTGCCATTGAGTACCTTGACATCGTTTCTGATACTCAGATGTTGAGGTAGAACTTTATTTTCTAAATCAATAGACCTCAATTACACTAGGCTTTTTTAAGGAGCAGAAAGGTACATGCTAGTCACAATGGAGCAATGCTATGGATATGAGCATCTAGGACAGATTAGCTACATTGTACACTTGCTTTGAGTAAGACATCACTGGGAGGGATTCAAGAAGTTACTTTTTCTCCCTTGCTATAATCTTTAACATGTCTAAGGTCTTTGTGTCTACATCAATCTTCACAGACATCCCTGGAGGCTAGTTAGTATCAACTACCAGAGTGGATACCACCTCATTCAACTCCGAAGGTCAGACCTTTCCATCTTGGAGTGCTCTCATCTTGTATGTCTCTATTTTTGTTTTATTACTATTTACTCGATGTATGTGTGTGTGTTGTGCAGGTGCATGTGGAGGTCACAGGGGTACATGTGTTTTTCCTCAAGGGCTTTCCACTGTAGTTTTGGGAAAAGCTCTCACTGAAGCCAACACTAGCCAGCTTAGTGAACTCTGCAGATCTGCCTATCTCTGCCTTCTCAGTGTTGGGGTTACAGATGGGATCTGCCATGCCTGGACATGTGTGTGTGTGTGCATATGTGCAGATACATGTGCCTTTGTCCGTACATAGATGTCAGAGGACGATGTCAAATATTCTGCTTGCTTTCTCTCCTCCTCATTCCTTTGAGACAGTTTGTCTCGCTGAACCCAGCTCGAAGCTGGTAGCCAGCACCTACTAGAGATGATGAGCTTGTCTCAGTCCTCTTAGCACTGGGATATGAGCACATGCATGGCCATATCGAGCATTTTCAAGGCTCGCATGCTTACGCAGCAGGTATTCACACCCACTGACGCACGTCCCCAGTCCCTGTGCTTGTCCTTTTAAGGAGGGGTGCAGAGTGTAGTACTACTTACTATTAAAAGTATTATTCAACTTGAATAAATAAGCAAATAAAAACCTTCTCCCAAAATGACTGAAATTTGTTGTATTTATTTCTTTCTAAAGTTTGTACATTTACATATACCATATTGTAATCCTTCACTGTTGGCATGATTCCCATGACATAAAAATCATTTCAAATGCAATAAATCTTGTTGTTATGAAACAACAAAATACCCTCAACTTATAAAACCACAGGGACAGGTCTCCTCATGGCCTCACACACGAGAGAAATGTACTGTCTACATCACAGCTTCTACACAGTTGACCCGCCTGTCTAGGAGGGCTAAGTTTACTTTAATAACAGTGACATAGGGCAATATTTATATACAGTCATTTCAATAAAAATAAAGCAATTGTAAAATGTAAACTCAATTTTCAAAATATTCTTTAAACACTTTAACAATATCCACATAAATTACTGTTCCATTCAAAAGACTACCACCATGAATGCCACAAGCTGGAAGTGGCATTTCTGAGTCTGGTGTGTGATAAGGAACAGGTAGGTTCTCAGTACACGGTGTGGTACCACTAGCTTTCCCAGGTCTGCTAACGCTGACTTTTTGGCCACTGAAAAGGGGAGGCTATGATTTTGCCACTAATTACTTTTGCAATCTGCAGGGACACAGAAACAACTGGTGGAGAAAACTTTGAAGGTAGAGGAATGTTACGCATTGTCAATCAGTGGGAGCCACAGTGAACAGAGCCAGGGATAGGCCACAAAAGCCCGGTGCCTGTCTTATCTTCAAAGCTAGAAACAGCCACCCTTAAGTGCATCCCACAAGCCAAGGCTGACAACATGGGCTCTTCTTTGTGTTAATGTCTCTTCCAGAAGCGAATTCCAAACACTTGAGGTAGAAGAGAGTGCAGGGAGGCATGTCGGCCTTTGCTCAACAACTTTCACGTGAACAGAGCACTGTTGAGCAATTTTATGTTTCTTGACCCTTCCCACAGAAATGAACTCGTATCCATTTCCGGAAATCTGAGAGCAAAGGGAAAGATATCAGCTGACAGTGAACAGAACTCAATGTGCCCATCTGTTTCTCAAAAAGACAGAATGCCATCTTAGCTTCAAGCTGAGCATCCTTTACACTGTGCCGCCCTCCACGACCAAGTCACTCTCAGAGTTGATATCTTGCCTGCACAGGGTCAAGCCACTGGGACGGCTGGATTCCTAATAGTCCAGGACCCAGGATATACCTGCTGTTGAGCAGAAGCCCGAGCAGAGTAAAAGGCCAAGGAGAAGCTCCGGAGTGGGGAGATCACCCTGCTCCCCACTGCCCATGGTAAGGGCTCAGCATAGTGCCTCAGACCTGCTATGGGATCCTTCATGGAGCCCGTGGCTGGGGTTTAACCGGTGTGTTCAAAGGCTATGTAGACTGACGGGGAAACACAAAGCAAACCTCCAAAGTTTTCTCCATCCACCAGTGCTTTCAGAATTGAAGACAAGGAGCTTATTGTTATGTTACTGCTAGTGAGAGCTGAACTCTCCCCTGCAAAAGCACATTATATTAGGGTTCCTGCCTACATTCATCCTGAAGACCCCGGCCTAAGGATAAGTGCTCAGCCGTTTAGCACACTCCAGGGCAAGCTCTCTCACCTACAGCTGAGAAGCCAGGGCAGGCAATCCACACTTGGGGCTCTGAAGGTAATAAGGCTTCTCCATTTAAACTGCCCTCTTAAATAAATGGTCTGCAGAGTGCTAGCGGGGGAGGGGTGCTGGAGAGCCACTATCTGGGAGTCACAAGAAAGACTTCAAGTTGGTGGTCCACCAGGAAAGACATGGCATGTGTCCCCAGCCCCATGTCTCAAAAATGTGATGCCACTCAGTCAAACAGCAGGACTCCATCAGTCTTCCCTGGTTTTTGGGACACATCTGTGATACAGTTTACACCACTTCTGTTCACTATTTCTTTATAATACTCTGCCCCTCACGTGTCTTTAGGTCATACATTTGTATAACTTAAAGTGCTCTTCTCTCTCTCTCTCTCTCTCTTTCTCTCTCTCTCTCTCTCTCCACAGATGAGTTCCTTGGCACATCAATTTTCTCCTTAAACACCCAAGAGAACAGTTAACAGTGACTCTCTTAGAAGATTTAACACATACATGGCGACCCCAAGTGGAAAACAGCCAGCTTACCCTTCCACTTCAATTTGGTCTAATTACTCTTATTCCTAAAGCTTAAAAAAAGTATTCTAATGACAGAAAAATTCACTATGGATATATACTCTCTAGAGTGAAGATTATTATCCATGTCAATGGTTACTTGGCTTTACAACTTCCATGGCTTTATATTAAAATCCAAACATTTCAAGTAACTATGGCCTAAAATATACTTGATTTCCACTACTCATTTTCTGTGTGATTTCTGAATCAAATGGCTGTGTTTTCTGCAAATCACAAGTAATCCTTAGCAGGAAATATTCTCACAGAATCCCTGCTCATCAGCCACAGAGCCAGCGCACCACACGTAAAGAACAAATTGAGAAATATATATTTGTAAAAATAGTTCGAGAATGAAGAGTTAATAAAAACAAAACTCAAGTGTAACTGCCCATATGGGTCTGCAGCCTGGAGCTGGTGGTCTCAGACCCTGCAGTTCCAATTCTCCGACTCAGACATGAAGACACGAGGCAGTGTGTTCAAACAAAAGACACTGCAGCCAACCGCTCACTCAAACACACCCAGTCACTGCTTTAAATATACCAAACATGCTGGTTGATAAAACTGTAGTCTCTAGTTACTATTTACACTCTATAATATAAGCAATAACATCAAACAACTAAGGCCAGTGGCTCTTCTTTGGGGAGAGTCAGGAAAAGGAGACTGAAGTATAAAAATATTAAATAAAGTTTTAACTTGTTCCTAAAGTCCTTTTACCTGTGACACTAGCTGTTAATTGTGCAATTGCGAACCTGGAATACAGTACCCGATCTTGGGATGCCCTGATAGACTTCAGTATCATCTGCAATATTCCTTTATAACAAAGGGGGTAAGGATGTGGCACCAGGAGAGTGATTGATCTACTCTAAAGTATACACTGGTACATAAAAGATACACTGGGTACTTATGTAGTTCTTCGGAAAGCTATGTATTTTTCTGGACTAATTACAACAATAAAGAACGTGAGCTCAAAAGCATCACATTTTGTAATAAGCCCAAAGTTATCAGCTCAACTTTATGTTTAAGTGCTCTTAATACTAAGGATACTAAGACTGCCCAGGCTGGCTTTCCCCACACTTCTGGAGTTCCCAAATTATAATAAGTTCTCATTGTATTGCACACTGTACACCTCAATAGATTCACAAGTTTACTTCAAAGTAATTTTTGCCCTGGTAATTCAAAGCTTAAAGATGGAATCTTCTGTTGTAAAGTCTTATTAAAAATTTAATCAAAATATTATTTGAATTTAAGTTTAATAAAACAATACCACTATATGAGCTCTCAACAACTGTACTATATAATCATTCCTATGAGGTTTTTAAACGTTCTTTTTATATTATAATGGTTGTTATTGACAAAAATAATTTCAACATACATATACCATATACTGATACACAATCTACACATTTATGCACATACATACAACTATAAATACCCACAAATACAACATTAGCGGGCGACAGAAAGCATTTCCTTTGACATGTGACATACTATCTATACAAACATTTCTCCAAATATTCACTATAACAGATATACATATAAATTATAAAGGATGTGCCCACAAGACCTAAGGAAACCTACTGTATGTACAAGTAACTTGCTTTTTTCCTTGCTCTTGCATACAACCAGCAAACTGCCATGCAGATTCAAGTATTTACTGACATTCTTTCCACATGCAATGGGTTGATGGTTCTAAGATGCCCACTCCACAGATGCAGAATGTGAATGACCTCAGATGTCAGTCTTGTTAGGTGTGAAGCATGGAGGAGGAGTCTGGAAGGATATGCACTGACAAAGGACCTCAGCAATAGATCAGGGATTATTTTATATGGATCGATAACATCCTCTGGATGGCAAGATGGCAGCAGATGTCAAAAGTGAGTGGGGGGATTTCTGCTGCTCTAGAAGTCCTGGAGCAAGGGAGATGCTCTGCCTACAAAGTTGACTGTTCTGTTTCTGTCTGAGAGACACAAAGCTTGGACACAAAAACGGATGCAACTCAAACCCCAAGCTGCATCACTGTTCTTGAACCAGAGTCCAGGTTTCACTGATGCTACAATTCTACTTGGGGTCTAGTGTGAGCTTTCCACAGGAAGAGCACACTGTCACCTGAACTTGCAAAGGAATTATTCTCTGATAAAACCAGGAAGGGAGCTACTGACCTGATAAAATCTTGCATCCATAAAAGCTAAGCCAAATGTTCAAAACTAAGAAAATTAATGTCAAGGGAGGCTTAACTGATGCTGACTAGAAAAAATAACAAAGAATTAAAATTCCGTCTACAGTTAGCTTCATCAAAGCCTCTCTAGCTTGGGAAGACAAAAGAGGTATGACTGACTTCTAATCAATAAGGCAGACGGGGCATGCATTTCAGGATGGTCCTTCCTTATTTCAGAGCATGGCCCCTTATCCTTGCTCTCTACATGATAAAGGGCAGAAGGCAAAGGAGTGTGACTTCCTGCACTCAGTTTCCCAAGTAGACTATAACACAAATCTAGCTGGGCCTTTAAAAACAAGCGAGATCTTCTCTTCCAGAACCCCTCACATTTACATTTTCCTGGAAAACAGTCCTCACCTTCAGCATGAGGGAAGTCAATGGAGGGACACCGAGTGCCTTACAAACTTCACGAGATTGTTGCATGAGAAAATGGCTCCATCTTATTTACCTAAGAGCAATTTAAAAAGCTACACACCATCTGTAAATTGTTTTGACCAGAGTACTCCCCCACATACTGGTTTCACTATGATTAATTGAAATGTATATAAGTAACACTTGGCTTAATTAGACCTTACTCAGAGTTAGGTAAGTGATATATTTTTTTAAAAGGACATTTCAGTAATGACAATGATATACCAATAAAACAAGGACTCTGAGTGGTAGTGAATAGATTTTAATCTCTAAAATTGAGTTCCTGGCAACCCTTTTTAGAAGTCAGCGTGTGAGGTAGGGCAAACCCCACAATATACACATTTTATACAGGGTCAGTTTACAACAAGACTATCACCATCAGCTTTGGATGACTTGAGACCCTCTACACTGAAAATCATTATTAAGGGTATTAATGTAAAGCAGATAATATTTATCATATGGAGAGGAACTCCAAGGCTCCAGGGCACTGAGGTAGGGATGAATGTCGGTATAGGTGGGGTAGGATGAAGTACCATGGAAAGCAGGGGGAGGAGAGCTCCCTGTACCGTGCGCTGGGCAACAGGCTTAGAGTAGCTGTACTAAGGACCACCTTCCATTTCTTACGACTAAATACTGCGTGGAAAGGGCTTGGCTATGGACCAGAGTCCCATCGGATCAGAGGTGTTTCCTACCATAGGCTAAACAGCCTGCTGTGCCTTCTTAGCAGGCAGCATCCTTCCAGAAGCCTTGGGGAAGACACATTTTAAGCCTATCCCCCTAAGGCTTACACTGCATTACACTGGGGCAGGCCGAGATTCTACCTCCCAGAAGAATGCTATAGTTATTTTTCAAGATAAATCATGCAGACACCATAGTCCACAGCTTTGAAAGTGACTTTGCTATCTGATTATCTATAAGCACGACCTTAAGTTCTGGAGTCAACACCTGTGAGTCCTGTAGTAGGGACCATGGCAGTGCTGATGCTATGGGTATTCCCAGACTGTTCTCCATGCCAGAAACTCTGCAGCAAGGTACCATTCAATGTATACTAGATAATCTAGGTAAGAACGCACAAACATTCTATACACATATAGACACACACTCTGGACAAACACTCAAACATGTTCACTGTTCTTCAGCTACTGATGCTCAAAGATGATGCTCAAGACTCAAAGGTCTTGGTACCTCTTTCCCTTCAGGGACTACAAATACTTAGGCAAAAAGCAGACACTGATAATTCATCAAAAGAAAGGCAACTTGCTCAGGAAATATTGGATTCAGTAGGAAGCTATGAAATAGTTCAGGTACATGAACCACAATGGCAACTCCCCATGTCAGCTTCATGGTTCTGAAATATAAATTAAGTCAACTGCCTTCACCTAAACAAGATAGAAGTTAAAAAGAAGTCTTTCAATAGTGTGGCAAAATGCCATGAAACAAGCAGCTAGGAGTTCCTATTCCTGGACACAGGCAAGAGAGACATGTACAGAGTGGAAAGAGGTGCAGGTTAATACCTAATCCTGTAACTAAATGCTAGGATATTCTAACGAGATGCCTCTATAAACTACCGTGATTCTCTAACGGGCTTTCTCTAACTTACTGGAATCATGCTATTCATGCAAGAGCAGCTGATTCTCTGGTCATAGTACCTTCGGCTAACCAATCAGAAACAGAGAAAATGTGTAAGGACAATAAGAATATTCAAAAGTCATCCTCTTAGTTTTGAAGATATGTGGTAGGGAAGATAGTTTTGGAGAATACAGTTTCAAGGCTGGAAACCTGAGAGTTTTGAGCCATAGAGGAAACTCACCTTTTCTATTCCTTTCTCTTCCTCTACAGGCACTACTCTACTTCAGACCTTGGACTTTAAAGGGGCTGTTTGACAGTACGGTGAAGCCATAGCAATTGCAATAAAGACTGAGTAAGATGGCTACAGAGACGGAGATGAGAATAAGCTAAGGAACGGCACACAAATGATCAGATTCCCCCGTCTTCAGTCACTATGGCCAGACTGACTGAGGAAGAACTGCAGTTGTGTTTGCTCCTTAGTTGTCCTGATGTAGCAAAGAAAAAAAAAGGGGCGGGGGCATCCATTTTCTACATTATTTTGTTTCAACCAGGACATGATCATTGCCTGCACATCTATGCGAAAATGAATCTATTCCTGGCTGGAAGGGTAACAATGACAGAGATGATTCTGATTCCTAGTTTAGATTCCATGGGAGTGAGGTAACACATTCCTATAGAAGAACACACACCATACAGCTGCAGCTCGCAGCTCCCAAAGGGCTGATTACTGCCACCATCCTTCAGAAAACAGAAGTAGCTTGGTATCAATCGCCCTCAGCCTCCCTTCAGGCAAGATGACTCCACATCTGCTTTCCCGTGTGGCTGGAAAGGAATCCACACCTGAGGCAGACTCCTGTGCCTCCTAAGGTCTCCCTCCAGTCCTGTCATCTTCGTGGTCCCTTTTTCCTGTGTCCAGCACTGAACAACAGGGGCCAGGATGAATGAAGTGCACCACCCTGGAACACCTGGCCTCCCAGCACTGCCAAGCAGATGAGAACATCTATGAGCATTCAACGTTGCCCCCGTGACTGGGCAGGACTTCACACGGAAAGTCTAGGATTTACTAAAGCACAATGCTTGTCCAGTTATGTATTTCACAATGGAGTAAAAATTTAAACCTAAAAAAAAGTACAACAGTTGACTGGAAATACATAAAATAACTGTGCAGAAGTGCAAATAAGAGAAAGCGGAAGGAGAAAGGATCTGCAATCCTCTGCTCCTCACAAAAGGTGCATTAGCTATAAAGTTGCCCAAATCCTCAAAGCAAGAAACTCAAGAGCAAAGACATCTGTACAGAAACTAACAAAAATATACAATATAAAAGGTCACTAATGCACCGTTTAGTCACAGACTAGTTGTTTAAATATATTCACGGATTACCAGAAAGATCTTGAAAACCTCTTTTTGCTCCATGACCAGCACTTCCTGGCCGTGGACAGATTCTAAGTAACTTTTTGCTTAATGCCCGGTGTTTCAGGTCGGTGGTCCTTTCTCTCTGACACGTTGCGCTTGACCTTGGCAGTAACCGGAGATGCATCTGGGTTCAGGGAAGGACTTGAGTGTGACTTCTTTAGTCCCACTGCCTCGTTTCCTTCTGTACCCAGGAGCTCCTTGCCTCCTTCTTTCAGAATGTTGACATAAATTTCATAACGGGTTTTCTGAAGGCAAAAATCAGAGAAGTTAGGTCAGTACAATTGCCAAATGCATGTGTGTGCACACCTGGCATGTTATTGCACATAACATGAGAAGTTTTTGATCACTTGATTTTTCCCAAGCTGACAAATTACTTGGGGACTCATACTTGCAGGATGAGGACTCATAGATAAGAAATTAAGCTAGAATTTCCATTAGTATTTATTCCAGGTTCTGAGGAGTGCCAGTGTACTGGGTAGAGTAGACATGCGTCTGGAACGCACATAGCAAAGGGAGGAGTGTTTTCTGGGCAGGAGGAGCTGTAACCTCTGCTTCACATGCAACTCTTGCATGTGACCTGGTCTTCATATGTACTTGGTTTGAACACATTCATCTGCTTGCTGTAACTCCGGAAGTGTCAACTGGATCGTCCTCTCATACTGACTCCACCTGCGAGTCCCTGTGAGTCAGTAATCCATTCTAGAAGCCATTCTGAATTTTTATTGCTTTTCTTTTAGGATCAGCCAATTCTCACTCTCACGCTATGAAGAGTGGTTACTAGGAAACAAGATGAGGCCTGCAGAACATGGAATTGCTTTCTGATGCTTTTCTCATTCTACCTTTCTTTTGTGACTGGAAATTTACGGGATGCTATCTGTGTTTCAGATAGCGCTTTTCTTCCCCTCCCCCATCATCTCTCTTGTGCTATGATGGTTTCCCAATGGCTGGAAACACTGCATTTGTTGGATCCTTGCCCTAACGGCCCTGTTTCTGGCTAAGTCACTTATCTAGAACTGTTGCACAGACATACTGAAATTTACACATTCCCAATTTGATACATTCTAGTCAAAATAAACTTTTCACTGTGAAGACTTTGGAAAAAGCTTACAGTATTTCATTTCTAAACGAGAGTATGTCAGTTATAAAGCTTTTCAAACAAAGGAAGGCAGAAGCTGTTAAGACTATGTATCTTTCAGGGATTCTTTTTCTAGTTAGATTAGAGGTTTGTAGACATCAGCTTCAAGTGTTACATTTCCAAGTTATTTTGCTCAAAGTAAGAGGCCTGCTAGCCATTCCATTTGTTCTGCATCCAAGCATGGCACTGCACTGTGGTGACAACATTCACTGAGTGCCCTCATGCTAATCTGAAGTCATCTACACAAACCATAGAAAGTTTGTAATATTACTACTATTCCTTTTTACTCACACGGGAACAAAGGCAGGGAAGTCCAAAGTCAGGATGCACAGGAAGGAACTTTGATTTGAATCCAAGCAAGAGGACAGTGGGATCCACTTTGCAAACGTTTTCTTTGACCGTATAGATGAATGCATATTCTAGATTCTAAGAAGAACTCTGACAGACACAATCAAAAGCTATCCTCAATTTCCCCTTCTTAGCCTTGTCACTCTGAAGACAGACACAAAGCACAAAGCAGCTTATCTAGTCCCTCTGACAGCTAGGATGGGCCATGTGATACTCCAGAAAGGACCAGACAGAGGAATGCTGGGAGCTCCTGGCAAAGAGTATGATTTTTGATGGGACAACTGGCTTTGGAGGAGAAGCCACCAGTTTTATAACCTCTTCTTCTTCTTCTTCTTTTTAAAAAAGGTTTATTTTAATTATGTATTTATGTGCACCTATGTGCCTGAGAGCAGTGCCTGTAGAGGCCAGAGAAATGAGATAGTCCTAGAGTTACAGGCAATGATAAGCTATCCTTCACGAGTATTTGGAGTTAAACCGGATCCTCCTTGAGCACTGAGTCATCTCTCTAGCCCCATAGCTTTAATCCTTCTCCCATTTGATATGATTCCTAAAGCTGTTATCATGTGATTTAGGACAGGAGATATGGATACAAAAGAAAAGCATCCTTGGTCTGAGGGAAAATGGAAAGACAGACAGACAGACACACACACATGCAGAGAGAGAGAGAGAGAGAGAGAGAGCACCTGATATTTTGACTCAATGAGCTGGACCCAACCGTAAGAATCCCCATATCCTCAGATTCATAAAGATGAACCACAAATTTCTGTATGTAAGAAGCACTATTAACAGTCCTTATTTTCAGGTAAAAGAATTACTAATTCATGAATATTCCAATTTTCACAAATAAGGAAACAAAAAAACCCCAAGAACGTGCTAAGCATTACCTTAGAAGATTACTTGAGACCTTAGTCACAGCGTTCACTAATCAAAAAGTCACCAACGTCACATATTGCTACATATGCCCTGAAATCACAAGACTGAGCTGGATGAAATCCAAAGGGCATACTGGCTCCAAAGCCTTACCTATTCTAAGAATTTATTACGCTGCATCCAAACTTCCTTAGTGGCAAAATTAAAATTCTGAAAAGACTATTTTCAATGATCACATGAAATCTCTTATTCAATTTCTCTGTGTGCTCTCTTTGAGGTGTAGGGAGGCTGTACTTCTAATTAATTACGGCCCTCATCTTTGAAGGGTTATTTTCTTTCTTCCTTTCGTAGAAGACACGACTGTCACAGATTTTCCCAAGATAAACCAAAAAATGTAAGTTTGAAGCTAAAGCCGACACACAAGAACAACCTGACAGAAATAGCAATTGTAGTCATTCCCTTTTTTTCTAGTTTATTGTTTAATTGAAATCGAAACATGTCACTTTATTGAGGCCATCACAGAAACCACATTGGGACACAGTGCAGAGATCAATAGATTGTGGGGAGCCCAGCTCCAATGGCAACACACCTATATCACAACTCCTGCATCTATGGCTTAGGGAACATCAAGGAAGAAAAGGCAGAAGGACCATCCTCATTATTCACAAGTATTTTATTGCTAAATTACTCATATTGACTGTACATACTCTGGGGATACAGTGTGATGTTACAATACATGTACACAATGTATATGATCAGATCATAGCAGCTGGCATAAGTATCACCCCAGACACAGCAGGGAGAACAGTCAGTCAAAACCCTTTCTACTCTTGTCAGACAGTGTCAACTGAGCAATGCTGTTACCAAAGAGCATGAGACCATGAGCATTATCCCTTCTCTCCAAATGCATCCCTGGAGCTATCTTTTAGTCCCTTCCCCAAGCTCCTTTCCAGGCTGTGGTTACCACAATTCTCCTCTCCACTTCTGTAAGATAAGGTTTTAGTATCCACTAAGAGAGAACATGTGGTTTGTGTTCTTTCTAAGTCTGACTCATGTAACAATGATGGTGCCCAGCTCCATGTATGTTGCTACAAATGCCAGATCCATATCTTATGGCTGAATAAGACATGTAAGCACATGTGACTATAATATAATAATAACAATACACATTTTCCTTATCTACTTCTCCATCCATATATGGGCATTTAGGTTGAGATTCTTTATCTGGGCTACTAGGAACAGTTAAATAAACCCATGGATACAAATATCTCTCTGACATACTGATTTCCACAGCATATCCAGGAGAGTGGGATTGCTGGATCATATAGTAATCTGTAGGTTTTGAGGAACTTGCATACAGCATGCCACAATGACTGTACAAGTTGGCATCACCAACAGTATTTGAGTCTTCTCCCTTCCTTTGTATCATTACAATATTTCTAAGTTTTTATTTTGTCTTTTTCATAAGAGCTATTTTATCTCATTTTTGCTTTGATTTTTATTTTCTCAATGAGTAATATTGAACATTTTTCATAATTGTTGGTCATTTGCATAGTCTCTCTTGAAAAGTGTCCAATCGGGTAATCTGCCACTGCCCATCCCCTTGCTGTGTTCTGGAATCCCACCTGCACACCCACTTGTATTGTGCATAATTTTCAATTAAAATGTTCCTAATTTTCTTGTTGCTGTTTGAACTCCATATACATTCTGGATATTATCCATCAGAAGAATCACTTGCAAATATTTTCTCTCATTCAGCAAGTTGCTTCTTTATATTGTTGATTATTCCCTTTGTTGTACAGACATTGCCAACTAAATGAACCCTCATTGTTATGTTTTCCTGACAGTTTCTTCCTCCTCCTCCTCCTCCTCCTCCTCCTCCTCCTCCTCTCTCTCTCTCTCTCTCTCTCTCTCTCTCTCTCTCTCTCTCTCTCTCTCTCTGTGCGCGCACCAATTTGCCTAGACGGACTGGCCAGCGAGTCCTAGGAATACTTGTCTTCCCCTCTTGAGCACTGGAATTCTAGGTCCGTTCCTCAGTGCCTGTCTTTTATCTTAGCTGGGAACTGAACTCAGGTCCTCACAATAGCATTCTGCAGACTAAGCCCTCTCCACCAGCCCTCCCCCACAGTTATTTTTTTAAATTTCTTTTTAAAAGCCTGATGCATCAGACTAAAAAAGCAGCCAGTATTCAAATAGCCAACCTTGCCTGAAGAACCTGGTAAATGACATTTAGAAAAGGACTGCTGCTTCCCTAACAGCCTGTTCCTCCTCACAAATGGGACTGAATTTTATCTTATTTTTTTAATTAAAAATATTCATGTGACTAGTCTGCGGAGAGGGAACAAAGTTGAAAAGGAAATTCCTACCACTCTTTCAGTCTCCTGTTCTGTCATACGCTCTGGTCTCAGCCCCTGATAGACATGCACCAGTCTGCTAGGGCATTTTTGTGAAAGCAGTGACACTGTTCTAATAACAAGGGGTCCAGCCCAATGTTTGAAACAAAGGTAGCCACTTTGAAATCACGAAATAATCACGAAAACAAAAGGCCATTATGTTCATAAAACAGATTAGCAATTTAGAAAGCCTATACATCCACCATGACAGCGTTTAGCACACAGGAACCACCCACTTATTCTTGCTTTTAAGTTGGATGTAAGAACATTTACTCCGTTTAAACATCTGGTCAGTTTTCTACCATTTGTAGCCAAGAGTACACAAATATTAAACCTCCCTACTGAATAGCAATGAAACTCTTGTCTCGATTTTATTTATGAAATAATTACTTGGCTAATGAATTGTGGTGTGGTATAACTTTGTTTTTTTTCCTGAATAGTCAATAGTTTATTGAGAGACATTACTATTCACGACAATGTGGTTACATAATGAACATTA